AAATGCTACATACTTTTGTAATAGGTCAAAAATGGTAACACTTTTATGAAATGGTCTATTTTGGAAATTTCTCAAAAAAAAAAAAAATAAAAAAAAAAAAAATATAAAAAAACCTTAGGAGTTTCTATCTGCAGTAATGAAACTACAATGGTAGCAAGTTACCACAAGAGAGTCTATGTGCAATTTTATCATTTTTAATACTTTTTTTAGTAGTCTAGTGAGTGATAAAATAAAAGCAAGCATTAATCCATAATCTAATGGTTCAAATATTTTCAACTTGGTTCTCTTTGAAAATTTTCAAGTTGAACCGAGCCATGGATCACTCTCCTGGTTCTCTAAGCATGAGAGTGTTTCATTTAAGGAAGTTGTTGGAATATGCAGGCTTAGGGTCCAATAGGGATCCTTTCAGAACCACTCCTATAGAAATGGGGTGATATACAAGCATAAATAGAGTTGTAATTCCCAAATTAACCCTCTAATCACCCGTGAATAGTATAAATCATTCTTTATTCTAAAGTATTCTAATAGAATCTTTACTCCTAAGGGTCTATTCTAATGAATATAGGTGGTGTGATGTCATTGTCATCAACAACTCAACATAACATTCCACTTGCAGAATCTTGATTCAGTTGCATATGATGGTGTTGACAATATAAAGCTAATCTTTGATATAACTTGAATTATAAGATTGCAATTTGTGACAGGCAGCACCACTACATGTTAATTGTTGGTGTGTTAGTGCATCTAGCTTTTACCGCCTTTTGACCTAAATATCATAAAACTGAAATAATTAATCCACAGCTGCCGTCAGCACGAAAAAAAAAAAATTTGCAGAGATTTTATCTACAGCTCTGTACAACCCTCATTTAAAACAATATGGGTCAAGTGAGTAAAGGAATTAGAATGAGCTGCTAATCTGTGGAAAGTGTTCTCTTCCTTTATTATGGTAATTCCATATCTTAAACTTTGTGGTAGTTCCCCTGCAACGTCAAAAACTATGACCAAATCAAGACTACATAAAAGTTTACAAATCAGGAACGAACCGAACAATAGAGATATTAACAATAAAGCCAAACTCAGCAGCATGTGGATAGAAAGGAGACAAAAAAATATACCATCAGATACAAACAACCCTATCTTCTGATATCAGCAAGACCTGAAAATGGTTATACTATTTGGATGAGTTATACAGTACACACTAATTCTAGAGTGCATGCATGTGCTATAAGATTTTGGCTAGAATTTCATGTGATTATAAATTTACATGCCATAAAGCTCCACTTGACTTTTAAGGAGTTATAAACAAGCGGTTGTTGTTTCCATTTAAATACCAGTTTCATCCGTGCGGATGCACAAAATTAAGTGATATGATGTTCTGTTTATAAAGTTGTATTCATAGAGAAAATTAAAGTGAATCATTAATGTATGAAAAGTTGTTAAGTTTCATATTAATTAAGATAAAAAAGTATAGAGAAGAGAGTTGAATGTCTACCAAAAAAAAATTAATTAATTGGGTAGAGCTTTAAAAATCTATTGATTCTTAATTGAGCAAGAGATGAGATATCAGTCTCTTATAGAAAACTAATATTTTCATTAATATATGGGGATATGAGCAGTCATTCACCTAATAAGCTACCAAGTGTCTAGATTTTAGATTTATGGAAACATTAAGTTGTGTCTATCTATTACGGGATAGGTAATAAACAATTAGTATATGGTTTCGAAGATGATTTTCATTCCAATACATCAGGCTTCAGGAACATCAATCAGTCCTCAAGATTCACAGAAAGAATTCAAATTAAAATTCGAATTAAAATGATCAAAACTTGCTTGTGAGATTGACATGTGGCTTAAAGCTGCAACTAGCTTATTACTTTATTAGTATATAGGATTAATATTTATACTATTTAGCTCGCGTGACGCAAAAATTAGATTATTATTGAGCTTTTAAATTTTTCTTCAACATAGACAAAATATCACAATTTTTAAAAATTTTCTATACCAGAAAGAATCACAGGTGCTCAAAGCTTAAACAAAATAAATTTGCAAAATAGACCTTTTTGCAAAACAGACCATTCGAAACATACGGGATCAGTAGTCCCGTATGATTTAATGGGGGTATTAAATCATACGGGACTACTAGTCCCTTATGTTTCGAATGGTTTGTTTAGCAAAATCGACCTCTTTTTGGCCAACAGGACAAAAAAAGTCTATTTTGCTAAATATTTAGCAAAACGGTCTGTTTTGCTAAATATTTAGCAAAATAGGTCTATTTTGTAAAATTTTCCACAAAGTAAAACAATATAGAACTAGTCATCTATTATACACTGTGCCACCCATAGAAGATGATAGTTAAAAATCATATGTACTTTAGTTATTTATGTGTACGATGCACGAGGCTTAATATTACAATGTTAATGTTAGTCTGATATTATAAAATTATGATTCTGACCGTTATTTTTCTTTGCTTCAACTCCAAAAACTACATTATAAATTAAAAATGCTACTAAATAATTAGATTCTTCATTTGCCTCCATTTATTTCGGATAGAAAAGTTTCTTTGGTTTGATTCAAAATAGGCAATATATGTTTCAGGAAGCTCAATTTTTGATAGTTAAAAATCATATATACTTTAGTTATTTATGTGTACGATGCACGAGACTTAATATTACAATGTTATTGTTAGTCTAATATTATAAAATTATGATTCTGACCGTTATTTTTCTTTGCTTCAACTCTAAAAACTACATTATAAATTAAAAATGCTACTAAATAATTAGATTCTTCATTTGCCTTCATTTATTTCGGATAGAAAATTTTCTTTGGTTTGATTCGAAATAGGCAATATATGTTTCAGGAAGCTCAAATTTGCACGTCTTTAATACAATGTTTCCCCAGCAGCAGAAATTTCCAAAAATGCTAGTTTGAGTTAACATAACACCTTGAGATGTGGTTACAAGGATTCCCTTTTTTTTTGTGAGTCTGACAACTTTTTGACCTATGTTGTGCATGGGTGAAGTCATAAGTCTATCCGAAGGTTATCACATAAAAAAATGTAATCTAGTGGGTTTCTTTGCAACAATGAAACGAGAGGGGTCCATGTGCACGTTTTAGGGGCTGTATCTTTATCATTTACACGTTTTAGGGGCTGTTTGGTTGGCCAAAAATTCAAGGAAATTAATTATAAGAAATATATTTCTTATAATGGTTTTTTTTTTTGTTTGGTTCACACATTGAAACGAAGTGAAAAGTTTATGTGGCACATTTTCATTGGCTGATGTGACTCATACTTAAGGAAACCCATTTCCTAGATTTTTGTAAGGAAATGAGTGGAAACTCATTCTTAATTATTTCCATCCTCAATTTCCTTTTGCTTTATTTCAAGGAAACCAACCAAACGGCCGCTTACTCTCTCATCAGCGTCCAAAACAAAATTCATCAGATGTGTCCAAAATCGAACAACAATTTCATCATCATCAACAAAATCAAAACACAGCAGATAAGAATAGGCGCTCGGGGGGCTTGTTTGAGAATCTGCGTTGTGATGTTTGCAGTGGCCTCAGCTTTCTGCGTCTCTGGTCCAGCTCTCTACTGGAGATTCAAGAAAGGATTTGTAAATAACAACAAAACTTCCACTACTTCTTGTGCTCCTTGTGCTTGTGATTGCCCTCCTCTCTCTCTCTCTCTCCAGAAGATTGCTCCTGGTAATCACCTAGATCTGAGAATTACCCATTTTGAGATTTTGGGTTATATTGGAAATTTTGGTAATGGGGGTTTGGTTGTTGCCGTGATTGAAGAGAACCCATTATTAGATTGATCAGAGAGAAACCCATTATTGGATTTTGTGGTAGGATTTGTTGGAATAAGTAGATTGGGCATTTTGGATGAGTTAGGTTCTTTTGTGGGCTTATTAAGTTAGGCTTGCAATTTATTTTTAGCTTGTATGGTTAGTATGGAGTTCATGATGAAGTATACATTGTAGCCTGTAGGAAACAAATGGGGGTTTGGTTGTTGCCGTGATTGATGAGAACCCATTATTAGATTGATCAGAGAGAAACCCATTATTGGATTTTGTGGTAGGATTTGTTGGAATAAGTAGATTGGGCATTTTGGATGAGTTAGGTTCTTTTGTGGGCTTATTAAGTTAGGCTTGCAATTTATTTTTAGCTTGTATGGTTAGTATGGAGTTCATGATGGAGTATACATTGTAGCCTGTAGGAAACAAAAGAACCCATTTTTATTTTTTGCCTTAAAAATGTTGGGTATTCATTTTGTTTTAGTGAGTTTTGCACTTTATTTCTTGCTTTTATTATGTTTACTAGATTTTTTGGCTTGAGTGAAATGCATGTGTAATTGAAAAGGTATATGCATCTATACAATTAAGTGGTTAATGGAAATTTGATTGGATGAGTTTAAATGAAAAATAGGACTATTGAGTTGGAATAGTAATAATAATAGATGTGATAGCAAAGATGATGGCCAAAGAGATGAAGTAAGGAAAATCTTGTACTCTTTAAGTTTAATTGTCAATTAGGTCTAAAGTATCAATGAGGTGATAGCCTATGATTTTCTACGCACATTGCAGATAAAATTGGGACTTTTGAGTTTGGGTTGTGTCGATTTAAAGAATGGGAAGTACATTGAGAGGAAATCAATGTCTTTATTTTTTGTTCCTCAAAATGTTACAATTGAGATGGGTTGTTATACATGAAATATAGGAGATCAAATGAGTTTGTTGTTAGGCATGTTAGATAGATGAGCAAGCCAATTTAAGAGGTTGATAGAATTGTGCTTAACGTTGAAAAAAATTGATCACTTATCCTAGTCTTTGGATGACTATCATACTGTTCAGTAAATGCTTCTTATAATTTTTGACGATTTCTTTATGCTGATTAGATGAGTGCCTTTTACTTGTTGCCTTAGTAAGTCTCAGAGTATCTATTACGGTCATAGCATTTTGTTCATAGCCACTGAATTCTTGCTTTTGATGTGTTTTGCAGGACTCCTCAAATCTCTCAGTTACAGGTTTGCACTCATCCACAGAATTTACTTTCTGAAATATTGGAGGTGTTGATTCGTGATGCCTAATTTTGCTAAAAAAATTCCACTTCCACTTCTGATGTGAATTTGATTAATATAATTGACTTTCATACATTGTGTCTTTTCTTTCATTCGCTAGCTTTTCTCTTAGACCGCTCAACACTGTTATTGACGTAAATATGTATAATATACGAGGAAATGACCATGTTCTTAAACATATCGAAGTATGGAGAACCATGTTCCTTGAGAGTTTGCCTTCTTGATATTTTAAATATAACCCTTCCTATATTTAAGTTGGAAGAACATGAAACCATGTTCCTTGCGACCTTCTTGGTTGTAATAAGTATGATCATATCTTCTTAATATTTTTGTTGCTATATTTTTACACAAAGATTCTTGGTGATTATTGAGGCTGTTCTTAGTGATTTTTTGCTCCTGCATTTTTTTTCCTTCCTAAAATGGCAGTTCTTATGCTAGCCTTATAAATCATTCTTTGCTGATGTATGCCATGATAAGGATGATTTAATGTTTTTCGTCTTGTGTCGATTGTGCCAACGTACTTTATATTTTAGTATCACGATATAGATTGTGGGAAGCATGATCCAGAGCTAAACAAGGAGATGGAGAAGTAATTTTGTCGATCTCATTAGCAAGGAGCTCAAGTTTCAGGATGCTGTGTCCAAAAAGCACGCTCGTCACATGAACATCACTATGGTTGAGGCCAAGAGACTGGCTTCTCAGTATCAGAAAGAGGACGAGAAATGCAACACAGAGACAGAGACATGCAAGGAGGCAAGAAAGCGGGCTTAAGCAGCCTCAACCCTTACCGAGGAGAAGCGAATCACTTATATCTGGGAGCAAAGGGGTCGTTGAAGTGGCTGGCAAGATGTGTAATCCTTGAAAAATTATATATTTACTTGAAAATTTGTTACGTTGTCATGGAAAAACATGTATTTTGTTTCCTTCTTGGGGAGAAAACTTGTCCAGAAAGGTAATAAAGTTTATTTTTCAGGTTAATTGCACATAGATTCCCTGTAGTGTCGTTGTTTTGAATTTACTACCCCTAAAGTTGGTGTATATGACAGGTTCTATTGTACATAGAGGTACATATGTAATTGTATAATTCATCATCGAGTATAAATACAATGTTGTGCCCCTATCTAGGGTAACCTGCACATATTCATATTGATACCCTCCCTCTGTTTTCCTTTCTCAATCGTTCACATGATATCAGAGCAGGCTTGAAACTCCAGGAAAATCAATTGGTGTTATCACAGTCACAGCTATTCTCAGCAGAGCATGACATCCTCTTCAGCAACCTCAATCCTTGCAACTGAGACCCCAAACTTTGGCTTTAATATCTGCCTTGACGACAGCAACCCCAATCCCTGTGACTTCGACTGTTATGACCTTGATTTCCTTTGTAATTTCTTCAATTCCCATGGGTACATCAACTTCATCAACACCGTCTATTGAAGAATCCAACTTTCTTTTCTCTAACTTTAATCATCAGCAATCATCTCCAGGATTACATGGGCTAAACTTATCAGGTGTCTAAACTACAGTTGAAGACTACCTAGCGTGGAAAATGCAATTCACCGCGTTGCTAATACCTCATAATCTATTGGGAGTTGTTGACGGCTCGTGCCCGACTCCACCAATATATGTTGAAATAGCTGCGGGTCATCGACCCAACCCCGATTACGTGGGTTCAAGAAAATCAAAGCCCTTCAATCTTTGTTGTTCGCTACTTTGTCCCGAGAAGTTTTAGTTGAAGTCCATGATTTAGAGCGCTCGTACCAAATTTGGGGTTGACTGCAAAATCGAATTTTTACGAATAGTTACGACGATAAAAAAGACCGAAAATCAAACTATGGAATCCTGGAGCCTATTTACGAGAGATAAAAGTTCTAGCTGATTCGCTTGCTGCAATCAACTCGCCTCCCAGTGTTCAAGAACTCGTCCAACACGCGTTGTTCGGTCTGAACAATGATTATGAATCATTTGTTGTGCGCGGCGGAAGCTTTTCTTGTGCAACACTAATAATAACTTGAACTAACCACAACTAATATGCAAACACAACCACAGCAAGAACAAACAATTTTACGTGGTTCGGCAAGTTGCCTACGTCCACGGGGCAAGGGGGAGAGAGTTATTACTATTAGAAATCAGAGAATACAAGTAGAGTTACAAATCTCTCAGATCAAACCCTAAAACAAAGCTCTTGATCTCTCTCAACTCTACCACAATTGGATGCAACAATTCCCTCTCAAAGACTGCTCAAATTCGTCCTTGCTTAACCCTAAACAATCAGGTTTTGAGTTATATACAACTCAGAAACAAAACGGGTCAAAATCCAGAAAGCCCAGCCCAAAACATCGACGGTCGACCGCGCAAGTCTAGCGGTCAACCGAATCTCAGTCCCGAGAGTAAAAAACATTACAGTCATCCGCGGTCGACCGCCACCAACTCCAATCCCAGTAAGCTTCGTGCACGTTGGCGGTCGACCGTTGCGGTCGACCGCTGATCTGTCTGGCTGATCCTTTGCTGTTTCCTGTAATTCTTCAATTCTCCACATCGGTGAATGTTTCCACCAAAACTGAGCCGACACCAATGGTCAACATATCTGCAGGGTTGTCATTCGTGTGGACCTTCTCCAATATGACGTCTCCATCATCCAAAACGTCATGTACAAAGTGGAATCTGACGTCGATGTGCTTCGTGCGCACATGATAAACCTGGTTCTTCGCCAAATAGATAGCCGACATGCTATCATAATATATCCGAATGGTCTCCTGAACGATCCCCAAGTCTTCCAATAATCCACGCAACCATAAAGCCTCCTTAATAGCTTCAGTAACTGCCATATACTCTGTCTCTGTAGTAGAGAGAGCCACTGTGGACTGAAGTATGCATCGCCAACATACAGGTGCACCTGCCAATGTAAAAGCATAACCTGAAGTAGACCGGCGTTTGTCAACAAATCTCTCAGATCAAACCCTAAAACAAAGCTCTTGATCTCTCTCAACTCTACCACAATTGGATGCAACAATTCCCTCTCAAAGACTGCTCAAATTCGTCCTTGCTTAACCCTAAACAATCAGGTTTTGAGTTATATACAACTCAGAAACAAAACGGGTCAAAATCCAGAAAGCCCAGCCCAAAACATCGACGGTCGACCGCGCAAGTCTAGCGGTCAACCGAATCTCAGTCCCGAGAGTAAAAAACATTACAGTCATCCGCGGTCGACCGCCACCAACTCCAATCCCAGTAAGCTTCGTGCACGTTGGCGGTCGACCGTTGCGGTCGACCGCTGATCTGTCTGGCTGATCCTTTGCTGTTTCCTGTAATTCTTCAATTCTCCACATCGGTGAATGTTTCCACCAAAACTGAGCCGACACCAAATCATCCAATAGTCCCTCAACACGTCAGGGAACCAACCTAGAGCTGAAACGCGATCTCTCCCCCCCATCTGAATCAAATGATCAAACCGGCTACATCTGAAAGATTGCCTACGTATCCTCTTGCCCAAGGAATCAAGCCGAACGTAATTCACCCAAATGGCCTCCAAAGGCCTCAGCACTGAAGGATGTTCAAAAGCTTCAAACAATGACCAAATTTCACTCCTGAAACAACTTTGGTCAACATATGCAGGGTTGTCATTCGTGTGGACCTTCTCTAATATGACGTCTCCATCATCCAATACGTCACGTACAAAGTGGAATCTGACGTCTATGTGCTTCGTGCGCGCATGATAAACCTGGTTCTTCGCTAAATAGATAGCTGACATGCTATCACAATATACCCGAATAGTCTCCTGAGCGATCCCCAAGTCCTCCAATAATCCACGCAACCATAAAGCCTCCTTAATAGCTTCAGTAACTGCCATATACTCTGCCTCTGTAGTAGAGAGAGCCACTGTGGACTGAAGCGTGCAACGCCAACATACAGGTGCACCTGCCAATGTAAAAGCATAACCTGACGTAGACCGGCGTTTGTCAAGATCTCCAGCATAATCTGAATCCATATATCCAATACAATCATGCCCATTCTTCTCATCCTTCTGGAATACTAAACCAACATCCACGGTGCCTCGAACATACCGTAGAATCCACTTCACAGCCTCCCAATGACCTTTCCCGGGGTCATGCATGTATCTCGATACCATGCTCACGGCCTGTGACAAATCTGGCCTCGTACACACCGAGCGTAAGGTGCTATACTTTGGCCATAAGGTGCTATACTTTGGCCATAAGGTGCTATACTTTGCAACAATGTGCTATACTTTGGCCATAAGGTACTATACTTTGCAATAAGGTGCTATACTTTGCCTGAAACTTCGAAATTGGGCGAGGACCGGCCGACGCGGCGGATGATCGGCCTATTACGACGACGCGTCGGTCGCCCCTGTGACAAATCTGGCCTCGTACACACCATCGCATACATCAAGCTACCTACTGCACTGGCATATGAGACATTCGACATATAATATCTGTCCTCAACTGAAACAGGTGACATCAACGCTGAAAGCTTGAAGTGGGGAGCCAATGGTGTGCTAACTGCTTTTGCATTGCCATCAAAGCTGAATTTCTTCAACATCTTCTGCAAGTAGCTCTTCTGTGTGAGTTTCAAACTCCCTTTCACCCTGTCTCTCTCGATCTCAATACCCAATATCTTCTTTACCTCTCCAAGATCCTTCATCTCAAACTCGGATGACAGCTCATCTTTCAACTTTCGAATAGCGAAAGAATTCCTGGAAGCAATAAGCATATCGTCAATATATAAAAGCAAATATATGTGCTCACCATCATGTAGAGCGTAAGGTGCTATACTTTGGGCATAAGGTGCTATACTCTGGCCATAAGGTGCTATACTTTGCAATAATGTGCTATACTTTGGCCATAAGTTGCTATACTTTGCAATAAGGTGCTATACTTTGCCTGAAGCTTCGAAATTGGGCGAGGACCGGCCGACGGAAACCCTGTGGTTGTGTCATGTAGATCTCCTCATCTAAATCACCGTGTAGAAAGGCTGTCTTCACATCCATCTGGACCAAATCCAAATCTAACTGTGCCACCAATGCCAATAAAAACCGTATAGACGAATGCTTCACAACGGGTAAAAATACCTCGTTGTAATCAATGCCCTCAAGCTGTGCATATCCGGAAAAAAACTAAAATGGTCGCGACGACTCGGAGCTCAGAATTTCCAGAGAGCGTAAGGTGCTATACTTTTGCCATACGGTGCTATACTTTGGCCATAAGGTGCTATACTTTGCAATAAGGTGCTATACTTTGCCCATAAGGTGCTATACTTTGCAGTAAGGTGCTATACTTTGCCTGAAGCTTCGAAAGTGGGCGAGGACCGGACGCGGTGGATGATCGGCCTATTACGATGACGCGTCGGTCGCCGAGTGTTCTCGTCGCGCGGAAAAAAACTGAAATGGTCGCGACGACTCGGAGCTCGGCAACCAATCTGGCTTTGAACCTTATGTCCCCAATAGAAGATCCCTCATTCTTCGCATATACCCACTTGTAACCTATAGCCTTCTTACCCTTAGGTAGCAAGTGTCTAAGTATCGTTCTTCTGAAGAGACCGCATCTCCTCCTCCATAGCTTCCCTCCACCTGATCGAATCGGGGCTAGACTCTGCCTCCCTGAATGTGGCTGAAACCATATCATCAACGACATCCACTAATAATGCATATGCGACCATGACATCATTATACCTAGCTGGCCGACGAATCTCTCTCCTCAGTCTATCTGTTGCAATGGACCTCTGAACATGACCCTGTTCATGAGCCCCATGATCCACTGTATCCTGTATCTGCCCGGTTGTCATCTCATCTCCTCCCAGTGTCACCTCTGTAGGAGCCTCGATGGATACAGTACTCTCTGGAGTGAGTAGAGTCATGGCCATAATGTGCTATACTTTGGCCATAAGGTGCTATACTTGGCCATAAGGTGCTATACTTTGGCCATAAGGTGCTATACTTTGGCCATAAGGTGCTATACTTT